TGACTCCAAGATCTCTTTCTGCCTCCGTGCTCTCGAGTATGCTTGCTTGACTGTGTCTCTCTAAAAGGCCCAGCTACTGTCAAAGCAGCAATAGTCCCAGTTAATACAAATATATATTAAGAGACTCTTCATATTTTCCCCAAAATAATAAATGTACCTTTTCCAAAAAGATAATGTGTACATTAAAAGAAACAAACATAATCATAAACAAGTTAATCTTAGCAATGCTTCTTGGGGGATAACAAAACTGTTTATGCAGGTCTTTAAAACAGCAACAGGAAAGAGACAATATATTATATAATAGGTAAGTGACAACAATGCCAAAACACTGAAAAAAGGATATGGTTAAGAGAGAAGGATGCAAACTCACACGATGATGGTGCATTCAAAATGGAAAACAGACTGTAAGGTTGTTGGTTGTAGCTGTGTTGGTAAGGACATAGGCAGACACGGCTGTTTGGGTAAATATGAGATCTCTTATTAGACGAACTAAATAATTGGAAAAACTGTTCTTTGCAAGTTTTTGGACACAAACACCCTTCTTCGGGAATATTCGAGAGTCTACAGGTGAATTGTTTGTTCCCCTGGGTAGAAACCAAAATGCAGAATGCAGGTCTATGAAAATGCAAATGCATAGCAGTGAGGATGATGCGGGGTGGAAGACAATAGGTGTGAGACAGGAAGGGAGGGGGGAAAGGAGGAATATTGAACTAGTTATAGAAGAATGTAGCTTGTAAAATGCAGACATGTTAGCTGTGGTTATCAGGTGCCAGGCAGGTTATAACTCTCTGACACCACCTACTATGAAAAACTAGAGGAAGATCCAACTCCCCTTTTCACTTTAAAATTCAAAACCACCATCACATAAGTTCCATCTAAACTACAAGAGAAACTACAAAACTTGATCCAGCCACTCCCTAATCCAGAGACTTTTTTATAAGCTCCCTAAAATCCACAAACAAGAGAACCCAGGAAGACCTATCATATCCAACCATGAAACCCTAACTGAGGAATTATCAGGTTTCATCGAATCCATCTTAAAACCTCTTGCCACCCAAAGAATGAATTTTGTCCAAAACAACAGAATTTCTACGAAAACTTAAAAACAGATCACCTTCCCAGCAACACCCTCCTAACCACTATGAATGTTACCAGCTTATATACCAACATGCCACACCAGGATGGCATCCAAGCCTGCTTACATATCTACAAAAGCAAGATTACAACTCAGAGTACAGACATAAAGACATTACTGACATTACACTTCATCCTCATACGCAACAACTTCTGTTTTAACAATCAATGCTTTCTCCACACCATGGGCACATCTATGGGCACCACAACGGGTGCACAATATGCGAACCTTTTCATGGCTGACCTGGAAGAGGAATTCGTCAAGAACTGCACCAAACCTATGCTATGCTCAAGATGTATAGATTTTCTTCATCATTTGGATCGAAAACCCATAGTCTCTAACTGATTTCCATCACAAATTCAATAACCATCACCCCTCCATCAGACTCTCTCTTAGATACTCCAGCACCAGCATTTCCGTTTTAGACACTATGATCAATATCTAGAATGGTAAAACACAAACCACTGTATACAAGACACCCACAGATCAATGTACATATTTACACCAAACGAGCAATCACCCTAAACACACCAAGAAAGCTGTAATATACAGCCAAGCCCTCGAATACCACTGAATTTGCACTGCAGATTCATAGTGACCCACAATAGTCACCTTGTAGATCTCAAAAGGGCTTTCACCCAACAAGGACCTGATCCCGAGAGATCACACTTCTGAAAGAGCCACCTGGATACCACATGAAGAACTGCTGCTGTACAAAAAGAAAATCCCCACAAACTGCACACCATTAGTTATGGTATACTATGCTTCCCTGGAACTTATGCAGAAAATCCTCAGTTGCAACCTATACTAGAAGACAACCCAATTCTTAAAGAGATCTTTCCAGTACCACCCATTCTAGCCTTTAAACAAGCACCAAACCTCACCAACCTCATCACCAGAAGCAAACTTCCTATGGCTCTGTGGCGGGCCAGTAGGAGGTGCTCCTACACTGAGCCACCCACCTCACTGTGCCCAACCACCTTCCAGGCTCCAAGTGCCTCCCTGGGGGAGCCTCATGTCTGGCTGACCCCCTTCCTGGAGCACACCCGCTAGACGGGGATAATGCCACCACCACCCCGAGTCTGGAGTGATTCAGGCTCTGCACCCCCTGGGAAACACAGGTCTAGTAGCCCTTAAGGTTACTTTACCCACTTCAAGAACTTGGGGTGCAAGGCCCCTCACCCAGGTATGTGATGCCAGTCACATAGGCAGAGGGAGCAGGTTTCCTCCCTCCCACATGAATGTATCCAGCTGAGGGTCACATGGTGCAGAGGAGTGACCATGGTAACCAAATTGTCATGCAGCAGAGCTTTGGAGAGACAGGGATGGTATTCTGCCACAAGCTCAAAGCACCCCAAATGGATCCAGACCATGCAGGGACAAGAAATGTAAAACCTGACAACTCATCTCCACCACCTTCACAATAGATACATCCCCAAAACAGAACCATCAACAATCCTGGATCTTACACCTGCACCTCCAGAAATATATTATATCTCATCCAGTGCAAAAAATGCCCTGCTGGAAAATATGTAGGAGAAACCAGACAACTGCCTACCAGAATGAATGCACACTGAAAATCTATCAAAGAGAAAAATATAGGCAACCCACGCTTAATGTGGTTTTGCTATAGTGCTCATTTAAAATACCTACCTAGTTTCACTGAGCGCTCAGCACATTTCATTATAATGCTCAGCGCAGGGGTGGAGAGAAGCAGTGGTGGCGGCAGTGAGTGGCAGCCAGCAGGAGCCCAGGGAGGGGTGGCAGAAGCCCAGGATCCGCTTCAGCACATGGTGCTGGAGCGGGCGGGGAGAAGCAGTCGCAGTGAGAAGGGGCAGGTGGGGGGCTGGGTAGCATAAGCGTGGAGCCCAGGCTGGTGGGGCCCAGGGTGGGGTGGCAGGAGTGCAGGGTCCACTCTGGCACGTGGTGCTGGAGCGGCCAGTGGGCAGGGAGGGACAGCAGCAAAAGTAAGAAGGGACGGGTGGGGAGTATGAGCATGGGCCCTGGGCTGGTGAGGCAGCAGGAGCACGGGGTCCAAGGTCAGGGCTGGCAGGAGTGCAGGGCCTGGGCTGGTGCAAGCCAGTGCAAGCTGAGCCCACAGAGCTCCCCTGTCCCGGGCTGCAGCCTGTGCCCTGTTCCGTTCTGGTCATGCACTCACCTGTGGGGTGTGGACACCATCCGGAGCCTGCAGCGATCTGGCAGTGATGGCTTGTCCCAGTGCCACGTGCCCTGGAGGGAGCCCCCGCTGGGCAAAGTGGGGTGTGGGCAGGTGGGTGGCTCCACTGCCTCCCCTGGGCCAGAGCCCTGCTGCCTTCTCACCATATCCCTGGGCAGATGGGTTCCTGACTCAAGTCCCACGGGCGGGGTGGCTGGGGCTACACACGGGTTGGTAGGGGCCATCACGGCAGGGGAAACAATGAGGCCGGGAGGAGCTGATGCCTTTCCTGGCAAAGCCGTGGTACCTTGCCGGGAGCAGCCCGTCCAGGGCTGGCAGGAGCGCAGGGCCTGCGCCAGCAGGGCCCAGGGTGGGGCTGCAGGAGCACAGGATTTGGGTCAGCAGGTGGTGTAGAACCAATTATCTTTATTTACATTAAATCCTATGGGGAAATGCGTTTCGCTTAATGCTGTTTCGCTTAGTGCTTAGTTTTTCTGGGGGTTGCCTATATCCAATTACCTGTGGGTACGCACTTCTCACAAGACAATCATCCCTCTCCGATCTCACAGTTTTAATCCTCAAAAGGAATTTACAAAACACCTTTCGTAGATGTGCCTACAAAATTCACTTCATAAGTCTACTGGATACAAAAAATCATGGACTTAATATAGACATTGGATTTATAACACATTACAACCTGCCTGACATCTGCTATCCCAGGTAACCTGCCTCCAGCTGACCACTTGCAGTCCTTCACACATCTCCTTCCTCCCCACCCCCCATCTCTACTCATTATCTTCCAAATTTCCACTCATTTGCATTTTCACAGATCTGCGTGTTATAATTAGCTTCTTCTCTACCTTGGAGAGCACATAACACCAGCAGAGTCTCCCCATGCTTGACAAAGGATGTTTGTGCCCACAAGCTTGCATAGGTATTTTTTCCAATTATTTAGTTGGTCTAATAAGAGATCTCACATCTACCCAAAGAACTTTGCCTGCCTATGTCCTTAGACCAAGCTGGTTACAACTAAGAACCAGGTAACTTGTCTGCATTTTACAAGTTACATTGTTCTATCACCACTTCAACATTCCCTCTTCCCCCTTCCTGTCTCACACCTATTGTCTTCCACCCCTCTGATCTTCACTGCCAGGCATCTGCATTTTCACAGGCCTGCATTTTGTTTTTTGGTTTCTGTTCTACCCAGGAAAGCACACAATTCACCAGCAGATTCTCAATGTACCTGAAGAAGGACGTTTGTGCCCAAAAGCTTGCAAAGAACTATTTTTCCAACTATTTAGTTGGTCTAATAAAAGATATCACATTTACCCAAACAATTTTGTCTCAAAATAGATTGTAGCACTCCCTTTGTACCCATACTTATAATACACACAAATGAATTACAGACCAGAAAAGCATTCTTCTCTACCTCAGCAGAAACCACTAAGATACACCCAAAAGGCACAAGCATGATGATGAACTGCACAATATTAACTGAGTGCTTACAGTCCACAGTAGAACTCACCAGCATGTGCTGCAAGGAGCTAACACTTTTCAAGGATAATGGCATGCATCTACAAGCATTCATCAGGATAAATGATACTAGGTCTCATGACTGGACTGTCATCTTTCTACAGATTCAGCCTGCTCATACTATAGGATATGTTGGACAGGCTAACAGTAAACACAAAAGAGCAAATGCCTTCTCTTCTTGGATGATAAACACCAACATTAGCAGTCCAGGTCTGCCTGCAATCATTCCCTACCCTCCGGAGTGTGCACATCACCCTACAATTTAGTACTGTCCAAGTTTGAGGACGATACTAAATTGTGGGGTGAAGTGCACGCTCCAGAGGGTAGGGAATGATTGCAGGCAGACCGGGACAGGTTAGAAAAGTGGGCAGTACGCAATAGGATGCAGTACACCAAGGACAAGTGCAGAGTGCTGCACCTAGGGCACAAAAATAACCAGCACATCACTGGCTGGGAAGTGACCTTCTCAGCAGCACAGAAGCAGAAAGGGATGTCAGAGTCACAGTGGACTCCAAGATGAACATAAGTCATCAGTGTGATGAAATCATCAGCAAAGCTAATCGCACTTTATCATGCATCAGCAGATGTGTGACAAATAGAACCAAGGAGGTGATACTTCCCCTCTATGCGGCATTGGCCAGACCACAGTTGGAGTACTGCGTCCAGTCTTGAGCGCCGTACTTCAAGAAGGATGTTGATAGACTCAAGAGGGTCCAGAGGAGGGCCACTCATATGGTCAGGGGCTTACAGAACAAGCCCTATGAGGCGAGATTGAGGAACCTGGACCTCTACAGCCTTCGCAACAGAAGGCTGAGAGGTGGCCGCCTACAAATTAATTAGGGGGACACTGCAAGGAATCAGAGATGCTCTGTTCACCAGGGCGCCTCTTGGGGTAACAAGGAACAGTGGTCACAAACTAACATAGAGCAGATTTAAGCTAGGTATCAGGAAAAACGTCTTCACAGTGAGGGTGGCCAAAATTTGGAATGGGCTTCCAAGGGAGGTGGTGCTCTCCCTATCTTGAGGGTCTTTAAGAGAAGGCTGGGTAGGCATCTCGTTGGGGTCACCTGACCCCAGAACTCTTTCCTGCCTCGGCTGGGGGTCAGACTTGATGATCTGTTGAGGTTCCTTCTGACCCTAGCATCTATGAATCTATGAATTATTTAAATCAGTAGTTCTCAACCTTTTTAGACTTCAGACATCCCTCCTCCAGTTTTCAAAATTTAGCAGCATGCCATTTAAAAATTAAATATAAATATTGTATCACTGTTATAACATTATGTGATTAATGAATGGGCTATTAATTTTTATTACTATTATATAATATATAAAATAACAGTACAATTCTCTTGGGCTGCTCCCCCCTGGCTCTGCCTGGCCCTCTGAATGTTTGCTCCCAGCATAGCACATGGACTCCCTACACCCAGTCCCCACAGGGACTTTAGGGATGGCAGCATAAGCATCTAGTGAATTTAGATGCCTCCATGATTAGTTGAAAGTTGAAGACCTAAATTTTGGATTTAGAGCTAAAGCCACAAAAGGGATTTTACCCTGTGGTATCTCTGTACCACTTCCTCAGCACCTCAGGAAACACCACTCTTGAGCACACCCTAGTCACTCATTTCCACTTCATAGACACCAAACCCCAAAGTGAGGTGAAGCTGTTACAGGGCTACCCCAAAAGCAGCAATTTTGAGAGTAGCAGAGGGAGAAAAGGCAGCCCCAAGGCAGCTTCACCACCTCCTTTCTGGGTCTGGCACATAAGGAACAGTGATGTGTGGACCAGACATGCTCAAAAGTGATCCCCCAGGGAGTACTGGGGAAGTGGTGTAGACACGTCTGTTATGTGTCTAGTCTTTTTGAAATAAAGGACTTAAGGACTAACTTGTTTGCATCATATCTTAATGCAATACATATAAAAGTAGAATGGTTTTTAAAAAGCAGTAGCATATAAAGCATTACATTTGTGCTTGCTTCTATAAACTCACAGGAAGGTAACTGCTCATAAATTTAAAATCTGAGACCACTTTTCTGCAAGTAGCCTTAATTAAGTCAACTACTTCAACAAGTTACTCACATAAGCAGCAATTTGCAGGCTCAGATCCTAGTCACACTGTCTCACATGCTAGACACATATGGAGCATATATGGTGTCAAGCCCTCCTGGAGTGCCAGGATGGATGTGGACCATGAGGCTTCTGGTGGGTTAGATCTAGCCTGGAGCATGGAGAAGGCTGTTGTGGCTAGTGTGGTGGCTGTGAGTCTTGATGCAGGGAGGAGTCTGGGTGTGGGGGGCTATTGGCAACATGAAGGTTCTGGGGGCAGCCACCATGGCAAGCCAAACTTGCTATGGACAGCCAGGCCAGCAGGGTCTTAGAGCCCTGAATTCCACAGCAGCCTATCCCCCCAACTTCCAGTGGCCTGCTGGTAAACTCAGCATGTTGTACGTTTGACACCTTTAATATCCTTAATAAAGTACAAGTTGTCATGGATATTGTAGTTGAATGCATTGAAAATATATATACCATACCAAGAATTTGTGAGAGAAGAATAGAGAAAAGAGAAAAGTATATTTCATGCACAATTTTATAAGACTGAAATTCTTGAGTAACTTTTAAACTCTAAGGATTCTTTAAGTAAATCCTTTCAAAGCCACAAACCACAATGCTCAACTATACTTTTTTCCAGAGCTGAATATAGTAAGAACGATAAAACTGCCATTGCAAGCTTTCTTTGAGAAGAAAAAACAGTAAAGTCTAAAGCTGTTTAATGTTTAATTACAAGATCACCCCTTAAAACTACACAAATCACTTGGCCATAAAAAAACCCAAAACTTTAAAATTGCATTTGGTTTCTTCTAAATAAAAAGGCAAATTCTGTTTTTATCCACATTCACTGAAATGTAGGACAATATTTAGCCTACTATATTCAAAGAAGGTAGTAATTGGTATTTAACAGACTGACATACATCTTACAATTATTTCACTATGCATGTGTTTATTGAATAATATATTCCAACATAACAGAACTTAATATTTGAATTTCTCCATCCTATAAAAATACAGGCGACCCTCACCATTTGTGGGGAATACATTCTCATATCCCCTGTGAATGGCAAAATTCACAAATAAGGCACTGCATTCATGAACGCAGTGCCCCTGGTGGCTGGGGTAGGGAGTGGGGCATAGCTGTGCTGGTGGCGGTGAGAGTACGGTGGCAGGAAGCGCAGAGCTCCTGAGGGGCTCCTGCAAGTGTATTTAAGATGCAGGTTCGGCATCCACGAATATTTTAAACCATGAATGCCAAACCCATGAATAGCAAGAGTTTCCTGTATTTGTTTCACAGATCTGTAAAAGGATTCCTCGTGAAATTAAAAAAAAAAAAATCTTTCTATGGAAAAATATTTTAATTAGACCTAGAATTCTGACCAATTCAGCTGTAACACATTTTTTTTTCTTGTCATAGGTTCATAGGAAAGTAGGACTGGAAGGAACCTCACCAGATCATCTAGTCCAGACCCTTGCTCAACCATCTCAGTCAAGTGTCTAACCTGCTCTTGAAAACTTCCAAGGATAGAACTTCTGCAATTTCCCCAGGTAGCCAGTTCCACTGCTCGATCACCCTTATAGTCAGAAAGATCTTCCTCATCTCCAGCTTAAATTGCCCTGCGCTGCAGCTTGAGGCCATTGCTCTTAGTTCTGTCCTCTGGCAATGGAGAAAAGCCCATCTCCATCCTCTCTCTAAATCACCCTTCAGATATTAAATGACTTATCAAACCCCCTCTCAGCCTTCTCTTTTCTAGGCTAAATATCCCTAGCTCTTTCAGCCTTTCCAAAGTCTTGTCTCCTGGGTCCCTAATCATTTTTGTTTTGTGCTGGACTCTCCATTCTGTCCACATCCTTTATGAAGTGTGGGGCCCAAAACCGATCACAGTACTCCAGGTACACGAGGCCTTGCCAGCATTGAATAGAGCAAAAGAATAATTTCCCTTAATTTGCAAGTGACACTCCTGTTAATACAGCCTAATATGTCCCTTTCAGCTGGGTGCAGGAATCATTAGACCCAGGGTGTCAAATGCATTTGTCCCTGTGGGCCAGATCTGGACCACAGAGCTTCTTCCACATTTGATCCAGACCCACTTTTGGTGTCAGGGAGAGTGGCAACAGCATTTAATCTCTGCCTTAACTACTGTGTCAGCTGAGGTAGCTGCAGGAGTTAATACTGCATCCCCATTAGGGATCCATACCTGAGATTTGGCAGCAGGGTGAACAAGGGCAGCATTAACACACGCTACTGTGTCAGCTCAGGGAACTGTAGAGGTCTCCACCACTGCCACTTGCACCTTACTCTGCTGCTGAAATCCTGTCCCCTCCAGGAGCCCCGTAGACAGATTTCACATCTCCACAGGCTAGATAGCCCACAGGCCAGATGTTTGACACACCACATTATACTATAAAGTGTTACTCCATTTTGAAGCCTCTTTCTCGCTCAACAAATCTTGAACTCCTCACTTCACGGTAGGCCACAGCAGAAATGCTCATCGCACAGCCATGTCAGATTCTAACAAATCTGTGAATTCTTCTCAATACCTTGTCACAAATACAAGCACATGAGAAGGAAGTACTCCACAGTGACACAGGTTTAATAGGAGGGATGAAGAATACCTCCCTAGAGCCTATATACCTATAGCTAGAATATTTGCTTCTGAAGTAGCTCCCCTTAGGCTGAAATGGAACTACATATGTGTCTCTGTTACTAGGCAAGTGCTCTCAAAAGGTGAATCTGCCCTTAAAAGTTAATATTTTTAAAAACCAACTTGATATTG